CAGGGAGGGTCCTCTCCTGGGTGCCCCCCCCCCTCAGCTCAGCTTCCTGTCCTGGAGAGTATCTTTCAGCACATAATGTCACTGAGAATGAACATTGAAGACCAACCTACTAACTCTAAAAGTATGAATCCCCCAAAAACCTTTGTCATGACTAATACAAACTACCACGGAACCTTCTTTCTGTGGTAAGTCCACGCCAGGATGCAGCATGCCACCCTCTTCTGCTCCTCCATGCTAAGATGCATGAATCTTGGCTTAACATGCCATTAACTGTGAGCAAGTGGCTGTACCTTCCCCACTGTCACTGTATCTAAGTATCAAATGCCAACTATTGGGTATACAGTTAGGGTAGCCCAAACCCCGGGGCCTGTAGAATTAAGCACAAGGTGCGCACTCCGGGGCCAGGTGTAGCATCAGTCCCTGCCGATGCCAATGGCAATGTTGTGTTAGGATTGGTCTCCAAGGGTATCTCAGTAGAGGAACTCCAGGAAAGACTGCTTTCTTCTCTCCAAAAAGCAACGCCAGAGCTCTGGGGAAGGTCATCCCAGGAGACAGGAGCCATGTGGCTTGCTGGGAATACACATATCAAGGTGGCAGGTCACGCACACATCACCACGCCCCACAACCTCAAGCATCCACCTCCACACCAGCCCCCTCACATCCGCATCCACGCCTAGAGAACACGGGAACACGTGTGTGCATTTCCCCCAGCCCACGTGCGCAGGGAACTCAGGCCTCCCAGGGACCCAGTGGCTATCAGCTTGCTATGCGCTTGCCCATACTAGAACCCCATGGACAACTAAGACTGTGCTCTTGGGTCTCCCACCTAGGTGAGCCTGCCAGGAGGGCCAAGAATATTTGCATATAATTTGCATGTGTTGACACAGCCTCCCCATCTCTGCACAGAGCTTTCCTAAGCTAACCTGTTATTACCGCCTCTCTGAAGTTGGTGCCACTTAACCCACCCACTGCCAGGGATACCGGCTGGGAGCTGCAGATCAGTGGTTCACACCAGCCTCCCTGCCTCAGTTTCTCCTCTGGGAAATGGACACTGAGACAGCTGCGCATAAAACTCCTGACACAAGGTGTTCCAGAGGGAAGTACTGCTAAGGTGTAGAGAGCTCTTGTTTGTATCGGAGGGCCAAGAGTTGTGCTAGGCGAAGAAGCAGGTCCCCTAGGCCTCAGGGCCCTGTTGCCATGGACCCAAAAGTACAGGACTCTCGGTTAAATTTCTATTTCAAGGGGATGATGAGTAATGTCTTAGAAAGAGCAGCTTCTATACAATCCTCTATCAAGACAATTGTCACTGCTTAACTGAAATTCAAAAGTTAGCCGGGTGACCTAGATTTTATAAAAACACCATACCTGGGGCCCAGGCCCCAGGGCTCCAGTTATTACTAATATCCTGTTTTCTCGCTGCTCTCCCAGAGATCAAGGGTACATGGTCCCCGTTTCCTAAATGTCCTGCTTCCTACTCTGGGATAGGAAGGGGGGGCAGGAGGCTTCATGGGAGGCACATTGAGAATTGCTGAGGGGGGAGGGGAAAGAACGTGCGCTTCCTAACCTAGGTATAGAGCTAATGGGTGCTCCCCTCCATTCTGTGTGAGGAACCTGGCAGTTATCACTGCGAACGTGAGGCCACGCTTCCTGTGGTGAAGAGCACGCGTGTTTTCATCAACAGAGCCCGTTTCTAGGGCCTCCTCACAGGATGTGAGGCCCGTGGCAGGTCACAGAGGAAGAGGGCGAGCCATGGCGGGGGTTGGAGCTGGGGGGGGGGGGGCACGTGAGCTAGGCTGCTTCAGTCCAGGGGCTGGAGCAGGAGTCCAGCCTGTAGTTACCTACAGATCCCTCCATCGGCCTTCAGTGCTCTGGACCCCTTCAGGGAGTTTGGAGCAATACTAGATTTACTTGATTACAGTCTTTATCTAAGCTGGGCACTGTGTGGTGTGGGGCAGAAATCAGTACCTGAGTTCAAGTCCAGCTCCATTAGTTACTTGAGACCCACCAGGAAGGGAGTTAGGGGCTGTGTGTGGCTCGGGAGGAAGAGTGCTTATCGAGTGTGCACAGGGGCCCTTGAGTGTGTGATCTGCAGCACAGCATGACACACCTGTCACCCCAACATTGGAAGGTGGAGCCTGGAAGAAACTTCCAGGCCATCCATCTTAGGCTACCTGAGACCCGAGACAGAGGGGAAAGAGAAGAGAATACACGTCAAGCTTGCATGAGCCATGTGCGGTGACTAGGGCATCAGCTCTGTGCCTAGAGGCTTTGCCGGGCCAGGCTTTGCACACTGGGGAGCAGAGACACTATTGGTAAACCTGTACCTCACCCAAGAGTGACTGTTTTCCTTCGAGATTTATAGAGAAGGGAACGTGTATGGTAAGACCAGTGGGCATGTTATGGAGTGTAGTACCATATAAAATCCCAAATTTAAAACAGAAGCTTTACATGTTCCTCCATAAAGAGGTATTGGGAAGACCCCATCCTTAAGGCAAGTTGCAAAGATGACACAACACAAACGCCACCTTTCCCTGACACCTCCAGCCTTGATGAGACCTTCCTTCTGGGAACTTAGGTTTCCACTGAATCGGAGCCAGTGGGATCTGCTTCCCCGTGGATGGTTAAACCCTAAGCAGCAAAGCAGCTTGAGAATTAAAGCAGCCACCAGGCTCTCAGCAGAGTTGCTATTGCTATGTACGGTCACACCTCCAACAGAGAGAGGCCAGGGGTCTGCAAGTCACTTTCCTGTTTGGACTGGCAAGATGTAACCACAGATCTGTAGTTACAAGTATGGCCAGCCTAGAAAGGACTAGGGACTTTTTCCTGACCAATAGAGACCCATCTTCTGTCTCTGCCCTCATGGACAGTGTTCCTGGCCTACAGCTTCCATCTGGAAACTTCTCCTAGGCTGAAGGTGCTTCAGAGGGGGACTGTGGGAAAGTGATCAGAGATCCTGGTGGTGTCTGGGGGATAGAACACACTCGGGCCTGTGAATCTGGGGTGGGACAGCTCAGGGTCCTTGATGCCGCCCTGGCAATGCCAGGCTAGAGTAGACGTCAGGACTCAAGACCAAAGCCAGCAGCCTGATGGCGCATACCCTCGGGTCTGGCCATTATTCTCAAAGGCTTCAGAGACTGAGGGAAGGCAATTCCTCTCCAGGGCCAGGAAATACAACTGTCCAGGATTATCAGAATTTCTTCACACTCCAGATTTCTTCACTCAACAGTGGGGCCTCTCACATGCTACCAGGCACATGAGGACTTCTCCCATCCCACTCTGTAGAGTTCATCAGTGGCCCGGCCTTGGACTGGCCAACCAAAGAGTGTTTACTCACTAATGAAACCTGTGTGCTGGCCTCCAAGGATGGATGGTTCAGGCTCACTCTTGAGATGTAGGAACGTGTTCTGGATCACTGAGGAGAGCATACGGGTGATCTCCTCAGACAGGACTATGGGAGAGCAACTCCTGTGTTTTAGTTGGCTGTGGTGATGCTAACACACCACCTATCACAGACACTGGCTACCTCTTGGCCTTCCAATTCTCCCTCTGCCTTATGCTCAACTTGTCCATTGCCTGCATCTCCTCACGAAGCATGGCTCCATGCCAGTAGCCTCTCCTGCTCAATTATGGGTCTTTATAAGAACAGACATACCTCTTGAAACAGAAGCAAGCTTTGGGGGTGGTAATAAAACTGATTTTATCAAAGTCAGCATCCTTCTTCCTAGCAGTGGTAGAAATGCCCCAGGGCCTCCCTTTCTTATGCCAAGCCTGACCCAACATCTCCCCGCAACACGCACTAATCTCAACTTGTACAACCTTTCCTTTTGGAAAAACAAGGCATAACAATTGTGGTTCTCCTTTGGCCAATGGCCAGACAGCTAAGGGCTGGAGCCAAGAGACGAACGGATACACCCGGAGAGGCCAAGGGCAGAGGGCAGGACATACTGGACACGTTTTTGTCAGAGACCAGCCCGAAAGGCCTTGTGGAGAGTCTGTGCTTAAGATCAACACCTCTAGTCTGAACGGCACGCCAAGGCCCTTCAGAACCGAGTGTGGAACACGCCTGTGACATTAATTAATGCCGGGCAAACTGTAACAGCAGAGTCTGAACACTAAAAATAGAGCTTTGCCAACTGACTCATCTCTGACTGCACAGAATTCAGAGCCTTTCTTCCAGCTTCTGTTCTACATGTGCGTTTTTCTCTCTGTGTCTCTGTCTCTGTCTGTCTCTCTCCTCTCTCTTTCCCCATCCCTCTCTCCTCTTCCTCTCCATCTTTGTTGTCCTTCTCTTCTTTGCATTGGGAGGTTTCACTTCCGGAAGTGATGGTCCCACTCAGCTACCCTCTGACCCACAAACATGCTTAATAAGCAAGGAAATCATTGCTTTTCCTGGCTCCCAGGGTCCGAAACCGTGTCATTTGTACTTAATATTTTCCATGCGGATGCCCCTGCCTGTTACATCACATAGAACTCTATAGCTTCGCTTCCGATTACAGTCCCATCTATTTTAAACTTTGTTGATTTCTGCAAGGAAGGAAGCCTCTTTCATACAGATTAGCTGGGCAGCTGGATCTGATTGCTTCTGATTACCGGGCTAGGGGCCACTAGGGAAAAGAGGTTTCCCAAAGCCCCTTGGATGGAGGACCATTCCATATGGCCCCCAAAGTGTGGGTCACTGCTCACTCGAGGGAGGAAGGGCCAGCAGCCTCAGTCGGAAACCAACAGGTCAAGGCGAAGGCAGGCTCACACATTGCTCCACACCTCAGGGTTTGCAGGCTGTGCTGGAGGTGGAGGAGGGAACCCCTGGGTTCCGAGCTCCTGTGTGCCCCTGAGTGGGGGATTGTGTGGGAAACAACTGCGTGTGTTGGAAGGAGGCATCCATCATGCTCGCCTCACAGTCACTCGGAGGCGAGAGCCCAGGCGTAAGAATCAGAGCCCTGCACCTGGCCTTGCACCCCAGACCTCCAGGTGCACAAAGAAAGCACAAAGTCTTCTCTCACCTTTCAGTGGTCAGTCCACAGGCAGGGGGGGCTGCCGCGCTCTCCTGAAAGCTGGTGGCTGCGAAGAGGCAGGAGCATTCTCCCTGCTCGTCCCATCTCTGCTTTCTCTCTGTGCCTCCTCTAGAGAAAACCGAGAGCTGGAGATTTAAAAAAAGAAGGATGGTGTGTGTGGAAGGTGGTGGGAGTCGGGGGTGCCGAGGCGGTGGGGGGTGGCAGAAGGACACTGGGGGGTGGCGAGGAGGCTGCCCTGGTGTGGGTTCGGGGTAATGGCCGACACAGGGGAGATGGCTTGCCTGCCGGAGCTCGGCACCACGGCAGCTTTGTGTGGGCGGCGGCAGCTCACGGCTGGGTTTCAAACCATTACACTGAACATTTGCAAACAGATAAAAAAACAAACCCGTTGGGCACAAAAGGAAACTTCTCCTTTCCTTCACTCCACGCTTTCCCCTTCTCCTCTGCTCCAGGGTTTCCCAAGAGGAAAGTCAGGGTGGTTGCTGACCCCTCAGACCTCCCCTGACCGCTTCTCCTCCACCATTCTGCCCCCATGACCACCACCACTGTGTGTGTAGACAGGAGCCAGGGTGCAAGGTCTTCACCAAGCCTTGGGATCCATTCACTTAAACCACACTCTCTCCTCCAGGGTCCCACTCGAAGCCATACGACTGAAAAGCGTCTTTGACTTTCATACTGGTGGATGTGGCGTCTCTCTTGGTTTTGAAGCTACCTTAGAACAAGTCAGCAAGAAGTCAAGTGAGAACACTGCCGTTGCTCCGTGACTTTCTTTCCCAAAGGACATCCCGAGAACAGTGGTAGGGGATTCTGCTCGAAAAGGAAACCAATTCCAAGTTCAAATACTTTAAGAAGCCTCAAAAGTGTGCCCAGGAACAATCACAGTTCTTGGCAGGGAAAGGGTCTGAAAAGTTCTGCAATCAAGGCTTGCTTCACTTTGCTTAGGTATTTCTAGAATGTGTAAGACCCTAGATGAGAGAGCTCTTAGTGCAAATGAACAGGTCAGGGTCCACCAGTTCAGGACTCTCTCTGATTGGCACCACAGTTATCGATGAACTTGAGACTATGGCTCTGTCATGAACAAGAGCAAAATGTGGATGACTCCGATTTCTCACAGCTGTGATAGCTGCTAGGACCTCCTTTCCAGGTGGGTCCCGGCTTCATTTCTACAGTTCAGAGCCCATGGGAGGAAGACGCATGTTCTCAGGTCTCTGTAACACCACCTGCCAGGGTCTCCCAGCCATAGACTGTGCCAAAGCTGGGAGATGGGATTTCAGAGACTGTCTCCAGGGACGGGAAGATCAGAACCTTGAAGCACAGATCCTGGAGAGGCGACTCTGGGTGACTGAAGGGTCCATACTGTGGTGACAATGACAGAAGAAAGAAGATGGTGATGTCGGTATAGCAGGACAAAAGGGGACAGGACACAGCCTCCTGTGAGCTGGAGGATGGCTGAAGGTTATCAGCACACATAAGGAATTCTAATTAGTTGCTTCCTATTGCTATGATAAATGCCATGCCCAAAAGTAATGCGAGGAAGGATGATTTCACTGTACAATTATAGCCCACCATCAAGGAACATCAGGGCAGGAACTCAAGACAGGAACCTGGAGTCAGGAACTGAAGCAGAGACCATGGAGGAGTGCTGCTTAATGGCTTGCTCAGCCTGATTTCTTATAGAACCCAGGACCAGCAGCCCAGGGATAACCCAATCCACAGTGGTCTGGGACCTCCCACATCACACATCAATTATCAATCAAGAAAATGTCCCACGGTCTTGCTTACAGAACAATCTGATAGAGGCAATTCCTTAGTTGAAGTCCTCTCTCCCTGGGCGACTCCAGTATGTGTTGAGTTGACAAAACTTAACCATGTAAGATAAGAGGTAACCCCCTCAACCCTCAGGGCCACTCCCATCACATGGATGCCTCTCCTTAGCACAGAGTGGTTTGGGTCAACTGTTAGCAATTGCGGGTAATTTTGTTCCTCAGAGGACACAGAAACCTTTTGTTTCTTAGAGCAAAGGGCCAAGAGTACAAACTAGGGCCTGTTGCTGAATGTCCTTCAGGGCATACAACAGCCTCACAAAGAGCATCCAGTCCCCAATAATACCAGGGCTGAGTTGGTCCCTTTGTGAGGTGCAGGTGAGGAACCTCAGGCATCTCAGAAGGCAGCCACACTTTAGCTAAGAAAGAAACTTCCAGGTCATTCTGACAGTTTTCACTCACGTGGGGGACAGGATGGAAATGGATGGAAAATAAAATCTCTATTTCATACCCAAAGGAAAGAGCGCTAACCCTTCCTTGTAAACAGTCCAAATTATGTGATTTAAAAAAAAAAGGGAAAGAAAGACAAGGAAAGAAAAAAACTGCTTCATCTTTCATAAGTCCCTCCAACAACTTGAACTCTGTGACTAGAGTGAAACGGTACAGAGAAGCCAAGAAAAGCTTTAAAAAGCTTGGGAGCACTTCAGCAGATAATCGCTCATAATTAGAGCATTTTCTAGACTCCATTAAAAAGGCTTTAAACAAAGCTGAAAATTATTTGTTGACCTCCACTCTGAAGGAGGCGAGTGGCCATGTCGACAACACTTCAGTGTGCCAGGCCTTTGCGGATTTTCTTCTTCTAAGTGGAGCATTAGCAGGGAATCGCAGGGGCGCTGGGCACATGGCAGTTATTACCAGCCAATCACGGGAGGCGCGGCCCAGACTGATGCTCTGGAGACTGCATGGCCTCAGAGAAGACTTTGCCACACTCTGGCCTCCCACTTCTAGGCCCAAGAAAGGGTTTTCTTTCTGAGTAGAGAAAAAGCAAGTGTCCACACCCTGTAGAGTAAGGTAGGCTCATGCCAGTGAGGCACAGAAAAGCCCCTTGGGCACAATCAAGAGAGACCGCATGAGGGACCCCCCAAAAAGCGACTGTGGAGGAAGAGTTGGCAGCCAAGTTCCCAGGGTGGCTCAGAACAGAGCTATTCAGCCTTCAGATGCTGTTGGGGACCCGAACAAGGCTGGACACGTGACTGCCATGCCCCTTCCTCTAGCACATGTGTGCGCCGGTATGGAACACTGGGAAGGTGGTGGCTAAGCTCTTGGTCTTCTGGACTTGTGCTTTGCTATACCCTAGGAGCATAATTCAAAGGGTCACAATTGGTTGGTCTGAACAAAATTAAAGAGGAATCCAAAAGAGATCCAAATCAATTATTGGTTGACTGACAATTGCAACCTCCACCCTGTACCACACAATACCTAAGGAAGGGAACATGGGCTGCTGAATTACTATGGAAACTATGAAAGCTCAGGGGTATTTAGGTAGCAAAGTGCCTGTCCAGGAAGCAAGAACATCCAAGTTGGATCCCCACATAAAAGCAGAAAGCTATGTATGGCTGTAACTCCAGCCTGGGTCAGAAAACAGAAAGATCAAACAGATCCCTGGTTCATTAGACAGCAGTCCGGCTCAATCCCTGAGTGACAGGCCAATGAGAGACCCTGACCCAAAGGAAGTGGACAGTGCCCAAAAACATCAGATGTTGACCTCTGATCTTCCCATGCAGGCAACATGTGCACTTACGTGTACAAACGTGAACAAACACATAAATGGATTTTAAAAACCATTAAAACAGAACAGTCTTGCTAAAGTCTGGCCTTGAGGGTCCCACTCTCATGTCTCATGCTCTGACCCTGGTGTAGACAGAGGTTTCTGTCCTGCCTGGTACTGTAGCCGTTCAGTTCCAACAAAACATACAGAGGCTTATATTAATTATAAACTGTTTGACTTATTAGCTCAGGCTTATTATTAACTAAATCTTACACTTAAATTAACCCACAGTTCTTGTCTATGTTTGGCCATGTGGCTTGGTACCTTTTCTTAGTGAGACATTCTCATCTTGCTTCCTCTGGGTCTGGCTGGTGACTGCACCTCTGCCTTTCCTCTTCCCAGAATTCCTCTAGTCTGGTTGCCCCGCCTATACTTCCTGCCTGGTTATTGGCCAACCAGCATTTCATTAAACCAAGATGAGTGATAAATTTTTACAATGTATAAGTGCATTATCCCTCAGCATCCGGAAACCTTCCTGCCTGTGTGGAAGGGCATGAGGAAGGATTAGGTGTTGGCCTCATTCCACTGCTTTAGGTCAAAATCATTGAACAGAATAACTTTTCCATTATGCAATGTCCCACTTCTTAGTGCTAGGTTCTGTGCACCCTAAGATCATCTTACCCCTAGCTCTTTGTGGATCCTAAGCTAAGGAATGTGTGTGTGTGTGGGGGGGGGTGGTAATGGAGAAGGACAAGGACACAGCCAGTTCTCAGGCAGTGGTGTCATTTCAATTGCATTTTAATAAATAAAGCTCGCCTGAGGATCAGAGAATAAAACAGCTTCACTGGCCAGCCTTACAGACCAGAAAATGGTAATACACACCTTTAATCCCAGTAGCCACACCAGTTGCCATAGACACCAAGTGGTACATGTCTTCAATCCCAGCCCTAGAGAGGATTAGAAAACTGGAGGAGACAGCTCTCACTCACAGTCTCATTCTGAGATTCCTGGAGGCAGGATCATCATTTTTGGACTGAGGTTGAAGTAAAAACCGGTGGCTGGCTGTTTTGATTTTCAGATCTTCAGGTTGAACCCAATTTCTCTCTCTCTGAGTTTTTATTAATTGTGCTTTATATAGTGCCAACATGGGGCAACTGCATCCACATAAAACCTGAGGGAGCTCGAGAAGGGAATCTAGACATAAAAGAACAGAATTAAGTACAACTTTCTTAGTAGATGCATTTTCTCAGGTGGACCCTGTTTTCTAGAAGAAAGCAAAGGCCCTTTAAGAGAGGCTTCCTGACTCAGCGTTCACGGCAAAACCTTGTAACTCTTTTGAGAGACCCTGCCAGCAACAGGTTTCTTGATAGTGGCATGAATCTAAAAACTCCACAGAGTTGTAGTTAACAAAAAAAAGTGGCTCCCGCCAGTACCTCTGCCATGAAGCTGGACTCTCAGGAAGTTGAGGAGTGGGGTGGATCCAGCCACCTAAGCTGCAACTTTAACCCTACTCATGTCGCTAAAGACTCATGTAGTCAGAAAAAGACAGAGATATACAGTAAAGATAGATTCAGAGGGGAAAAAAAACTTCTAAATGGTTTACAGTGTGTTTTAAAATATACATTGTCTTGGGAGATAAAAGA